GCAGTTGCGCAGAGAGAGAGAGAGAGAGAGAGAGGGGTGGCAATTTCAGAGTTGAGAACGAGAATGGAGATGGAGGAGGCTGAAATGATTAGCCCTAAATATATATATGGCAATTTGGGAGGCTGAAATGATTTGCCCTAAATATATATATACATATATATATATATATGTATAATATATATAAATTTTTGAAAAAAAAAAAATTATATAAAAAAATTTATATAATAATATAAATAAATATTTATTTATATTATTATATAAATTTTTTTATATAATTTTTTTTTTTCAAAAATTTATATATATTATACATATATATACATATATATGTATATTATATATATTTGATTATATTATTATTATTATATATATATATAGTTGGTCCTTTTTTGACTCTTAATTTTAGATTTTTGATTCTTTTTAATTAAGTTTAATTTTAGTTTCCTTCTAATGTCTACAACTTGACTTGGAATGTACCTAATATTAACCTTATTGATGCAAATATCAATGGTGGGAATGGTAGTTAAAAAAGAATAGTGGTTGTGTCAAAAAATAACATTTTGCATAAAATACATTATTGGAGCAGAATTGCTAAAATATAGCATTTTGACACTGTAGCACTGTCAAAATATAGATTTGGCATCCAAATTTAGCACTCTAACATTGTAGATGCTCTAACTCATTAGCATAGCCTCTCATTCTTAAAGAAGATTGGAGGAGTTTGAGTCCTAACATGGGTCAAGTATATATTAGTAATCACGAATACTTTTTTGAAGGTGACATGTTAGCACTTACCGGATACCGGTTAGAATTATTCTGAATAGTAAATATTTTATTTTCTAGTTGATTACAGGCATGTACACGACAAGGATAGGTTTTGGCCACTTTCAGACGAGGTGATTTTGTATTTATTTTAAAAAAAATAGAATTCAATGCAATTTAAAATATATTAGAGGTTAATTAAAAAATAATATAAAATTTTTAAAAACAAAAATAAAAATATTTAGCTCAAAATTTCAAATTGCTGATTTATTTATTATTATACATGCCACACTGTGTCCTATTTTTTGAGATTTTCTGTATTGTTGTGTCCATACCTACTCGTAGCTGTGCTTACTAGAGTGTGAGTAGGGATGGCAATTACAGGCATGTACAAGATAAGGATAAGTTTTGGCCACTTTCAGGCGAGGTGATTTTGTATTTATTTAAAAAAAAAAAAATAGAATTCAATGCAATTTAAAATATATTAGAGGTTAATTAAAAAATAATATAAAATTTTTAAAAATAAAAATAAAAAATATTTAGCTCAAAATTTCAAATTATTGATTTATTTATTATTATACATATCCATGCCATACAGTGTCCTATTTTTTGAGAATTTTCGTATTGCTGTGTCCATACCTACTCATATTTGTGCTTACTAAACTGTGAGTAAGAATGACAATTTATCCCACGGGGATGGGTACCCACCTCGTTTATAGCAGTTTGGAAGAGCGTTTAACTTATTTGGACGGGGATGATAATTATTAATGAAAACCTGTGCGGGTTCGGGGTGACGGCGGGGGAGGTCACCCTATCCATCCCGCCCCGCTTAGGTAAGTAAATTACTAAATTAACCTTATTTTATTAGTATAGATAGTTAGTTCTACAAATCCTAAGTCACATTCACTAACTTTCCCAGCTGTTTTAGAGAGCGGCAGAGCCCTACGAACTAAAAACGCTTGTACCCTTGAATTTTATATTAAATTATTGATTGCCGATTAAATTTTTTTCTTTTCAATAGTTTTATAGTTGTATTTTAGGAATTTTTTAAAAAAAAGACAGAGAAATTCGGGAACTAAATGGGGCGGGGCAAGTACCCGCGGGATAGAAAAAAGTTATACGGGGCGGGAATGGGGTGAAAAGGCCCATGTAGGCAATTTGAGATGAGAATGGGGCGAGAGTTTCTAAACGATTGCGAAAAAGAATACACCAACCCAAAACGACCCCGTTGCCATCCGTATGTGTTGGTCTTGAGGGAAAAAAAAAACACACACACACTACATCAGGTTAAAAATAACTTAAATTAGTAAGGATCCTTGATGAAAACTTTTTTTTTTGGTCCCTTCCTTTTTGGTTAAGTAAAATTTGTATAACAGTGAGAATTTACAGTATACAAAGGGGCATGCCCTTGCAAGTAGAAAACAAAAATCCAATGATCAAAGTAGCCAAAAGCCATGAGTAACAGAGCTTGTGACGGTAAGCACAAAAAAAAAATAAAAAATAAAAAAAAGCAATAATATTGTTAAATTCATTACCCAATGACACAATCACTCACACTTGTAATGATGCCACACCAACTGTTGTTATACATTTTTTTACATTGGACACTTGTAATCATGCCACACCATTTGTTGTTATACATTTTTCTACATTGTCCATTTTGTCTCCAATTAATTGAGGAGATCTAGACCCCTGCTTTAAAATTTTAAAAGACATTGAGCAGTTTGTGAGACAAGACCAGGACATCCACTAAAATCATGTGGAGTAAAGCAAAGTCATTACCATTTCAATCTTGACGAATCACGTTTTCCAATTTTAATAGACACTCCATCGGCAAACACCTTCTTGACTTATATCTTTTTTTCCATTTAACTTCATGTAACACTATTCCATCTTTGTATTGATTATTCTCAGCTTTAGTAACTTGCCATTGTGACAGTAAGCACAAATCTCAGACCTTAGAAGATGCATGTCTTCTTTTACTGTATTTTCGTCGACCTTGCCAATGTCACATGCAACAATTGAGCAAGTTCTCCGATTCAAAAAAACTATATTGAGGTCACGAGAACAAAACATGTTTTAGTGTTTTTTCAATTTTATGTTTTTCAATTTATGTTGATTATTCAGTTTTCAATTTAAAGTGCATATATATACAAAGATGAAATATAAAAACAACATAAAATAAAATAAAAATTTTAAAACAAAACTCAACATACCGAGATGAGAGAGATGAGGAAATAGAGAGAGAGAGAGAGAGAGAGAGAGCTTGGGGAGATTCTGGATAGAGAGAAGAGAATCCGAGAGTGGAGAGAGACGCGATGAAGAGAGAGCTCGGCCCCTTCGCGAAGAACTCGCCGGAGTGATAGAAGGCAGCGGCGAAGCTTGGGTTCGCCGGAAAACGCAGAGGTGAGACAGAGGGAGTTTCTCTTTAGATCTTCATACACAGTGGTCGATTTGAAGCCCAATCTTCAAATAGCGTCGCAATTTTAGAGAGAGAACAAGGATAAGTATGTTAAGACGAAGAAGATGACTCTCAAGGCAAGCTTCAGATCTATTTCAGTGTGGTTGATTTCAAGCCCATAGCAGTGACAAAAAGACGCCTGTGTAGGAAAGCTTCGTCGATTTCAAGCCCAGTTTGGTTTTCGTCGATTTCAAGCCCGACGTTGTGCACTGGAGTCACCGTATCGCCTTCAGCTGCGCGAACGCTAGCCCTCGAATATTGTTGCGATTTGTGTTTATACCTGTTCTCAAATTGGAACAAGTTAGGGCAAAATCTTGTTCCAACCTTTGGCCCATTTTTACAAAATGTTCTGACACTGTTGAAACCAATACAGGCCGTGCCAAATATGTTTTGAATCTCAATAGTGATACTGTAGTACTTTTGCAACACTACAAAACACATACCAAACAAGGCCTTACTGCTCTCTCTGCTTCTATCTGCTGATTGATCCAGCGGCCAAAATTGGGCCACGCCAATTACAAAAAGGAAATCCAGGTCATTGTAAAACGCTGACGTTTCAGTTAAATGAAAAAAGTAGGGAAACAATGCCAAGGCAAACACTGCCTTAACGATCCAGACCAGTTCTCTCTCCTTCCCATCCTGACTCCCAAACTGGTTTTTTCCTGTGTCTTTCTCTCTCTGTCTATGCCCAGAAGAAACCAGAGATGGGTGGGCGTGTATCTACAACAAATGCTGAGTTAGTATGTACTGATTTTCAAGCTGAGATCAGTTGTTGATTGAGTCTCTCTCCTCCATTAATTATCCATAGATTCAGCAAACAAACTAAACTCAGAACCTCTGTACTCTCTGGGGTAAGCAAGAAAATTAAGGAAAACCAAAGAATCCCAAAAATACAATTTTTTTTTTGCAAGATTTCAAAACACTAGCTAATTTCTCCATTCTTCTCTATGTCTCTCTTTCCACTATATTTTTCTTATCATTTTCAGAATGTCAAAAATACTCATTTGCACATTCTTATGTCTCATCTTTGATTTGTCTGATGAAGGATGGTGACTACAAAAAAACCCATGGTTTCTCCTTCGCATAGTTGGAGAGAAAGAGACAAAGGAGAGAACCAGATTTGGGGAAGAAAGATAGGGGAGAGAGAACTGGGTTTGGATTGTAAAGTCAGTGTTTCCCTATTTTTTTTTTCATTCAACTGAAAAACTAGCGTTTTACAATGACCTGGATTTCCTTTTTTTTAATTGGCGTGGCCTAATTTTGACCGCTGGATCAATCAGCAGATAGAAGCGGAGAAAGCACTAAACGTAGAGGAGCCGGATCAAATTTTGGTTTTGTTCTGCTACTGTTGGCTATAAAACAAGTCCACACAAATCTGAAATGGCCCAAAAATTAATTACTGTAGCAATTTTGGAACAAAACAAGACATTACATAACATGTACCAAACAAAGCCTAAATGTATAAGTATTAAAAATCACTGCAGTACCAAACCCCCTACGAGGATCCGGTCTCTTATATCAAACCCACTTCTAAATTGCTGGGTTGGGGTTCGGTAAAAGAGGCCACGCTTCTGTAGATCAAGACTGAACCGAGCTCTAAATGTAACTGTGTGAGCCCAACCCGCAGAATAACCCAAACCCGTGGATTCCAGATGGCAAATTGCCGCAGCCCTACGCAATATTCACGCTGTCAGAAGTGTCAACATCTCTCTTTCTCTCTCACGCACATGCGCGCCACACACACACACATCTATATATATATATATATATATATATATATATATATAGTCCATATATTACATGGAGAAATTCACACTAATGGAAAATCAGCCCGAAGATTCTGCTGGAATCGAAACTGACGAATTTCCGGATGAGTTTCAGTGTTGCGTATGCCTGTAAGTTTTCATCAACCTCATGTAATTTCGACCCAAAAAAAAATTGGATGTTTTGCCAGATTGATTCAATTATTTTCTGTTTATTTATTTATTAATGTATATATATGCGTATGCGTGTGCCTGTTTATTTGCTAGATTATTGTAACTCTGACATTAGTATTTTCGACAATAATTTGGCGGTTCCCGAGTTTATGTGTTTGTGTATATATATATAAATGCACGTATAAGGTTTTGTTAAAATTCCTAATTTCTAATATACTAGCATTTTAATTACTAGCATGTGGTTTAATAAATTGTCAAAATAGAATTCACATTGAAGCAAAGTTAGTGACCGACCAAAATTTATCAAACACTACAGAATTATAATTTGTTTGTGTGAGAGAGGAATATTGTAGATGGGTGACTTATTTTACCTGGTTAGACTATGTTGCAGAGAACATGTTCTGATTTGGTTTGTGTTATAGTAAAGAAATTTCCACAGACTGATGTGGGGATTTTTTTTTTAATATACACATATGTTTTTTCTGGCAAAGGAAGGATATATATTAATATGATATAGAAAATAGAATCCGGAGAAACAACATTGCTAAGCCAATGTGGCAAATCATCAACAAAGAAGAAGAACGTTTGAGCCAAGAAAGGTGCAACAGAATTATACTCCCTAGGAGCATAATACTGCACTTTAAAGGACCCCACCACCCATGATCATACTCTAATTACCACTTGTGCATCCCCTTCAAGAATGAACTGCCTCCCACTCTAAGCAGAAACAGAGTGAGTAGCACTATTCTTAAAACAGACCTTGAGCAATTTTCAATTTCATAAAATTGACCCAAAGCCTGTTCAACTTCCACATCAGACCATTCCTTTCCACTGAAAAGCAATTCATTCCTTGATTTCCATATATACCAAGCCACATAAGCTGCAATACCCAACGACCTATCTCTTTGCTCTTCCTCTTTCCATCTATTACCCACATCCATCCACCATTGAATTGAAGAAATTTACAACTGAGGGTTAATATCCACTATCAATTGTGATAATTTCCAAATTTTCACAGCTCTATCACATGTAAGAAGGCAATGAACAATTGACTCCTCTTGACAATGGCAAAATTTGCATTAGTATAAATGGATAACTCCCCTCTTAATAGAGAAACTGCAACAGGAAGTCTTTTTAAACAAACCCGCCAAAGAAATTGTTTAATTTTGGGTTTGATCTTCAACCTCCAAAGCCCATTACAGAAACTGGGATCCATTCTTCTAGGCTCCTCTCCTTGAATAGAACTGATTTGTGCTGCTTGCTTAATGTTGAAAGCAAGAGAGTGACCAGACTTAACTGGAAAAAAAAAGTCATCATTAGAGTACCAAATTAATTTATCATCCCCATTCTCGTAACTCAAATGAAAATTTCAAAATTAACTCCCAGTCTTCCCTGTGAAATAACTCTTTTACCAGGGGTTCATTCCATCTCTGTAAGTTAGATTCAATCAATTGAGATATCCATCTAATGTCACCGCCAGTAGGATCACTGGATGAAAACTGACGTGGGATTAAAATTACAAAAAATGTTAGCTATAATTAGCAAACTATACTTACCTTAGCAAAAAAATTTTTCATATTATCTGTAGTTGCCTATCAACTTCTGCTTTGCCATTCTGATCAGTTGTGGTCCATATTTTGTCACACACGATGCAACCGGAGCACTTCATCATCTCACTTATTGATGCGCCTCTAAGTTATCGTAAACGAGTACCATTGATTCTACTATCATTTGTCTCTTAATGATCTGTTGTACATCTTTATAGCATGAAGCTAACCTTTCAACACTTCATTAGCAGCTCTTTATTTCACCCATCCTGCCAATTTACAGAAAATTTTGTTTTTAAGCTCTGAATTTCACTGAATAATTAAAGTAACATGTCGAAATTGGCACCATTGAGTATCTTTTAGTCATCTGGCTTAACTACAGAGGTGCTTTATATGCATCAACTATAAAGCATTAATTAAAAACATTTGATTTCTTTTTCTTTGGTGAATAACCTGTTTTGATGGCTCTTCCTTTTACCTTGCAGGGATATCTTCTACAAACCAGTTGTATTGGGTAAGAAGGCATTACAAAAGGGTAACAAATTTTTAGTTATTCCTTCATCAAGTTCTAAATCCTATATGTCTTGCTTGCAGCCTGTGGCCACATTTCATGCTTCTGGTGTATCTTCCAATCTATGGATTCTTGGAAGGGATCACATTGTCCAGTTTGTCGGCATTCATATAATCATTTCCCTAGTATCTGTCAATTGCTGCACGTCTTGCTTCTGAAGTTATATCCATTAGCCTATGAAAGAAGGGAAAGACAAGTCAGAGGTGCATTTTGTTCAAAACTTAATGTTAACTTTTAGGATTAATTTATATAGATCACTTGTTTTACCAATAATTATGATTCATATGGCATATTTGCATTTCTTTTTTTAAGTTTTTTAGATTGCTCAGAATTTGTGAATGGTCATAAAATATGCATCAATCTAAATTGCTTAGAATTTTTTATTAGTAAGAAAATATGATCATAATGTATTACATACTATTCTGCCTTAAGGAAACCAAGGTTTATTAGTTTTGTTCTGTTCTGTTCTTTTTCTCCTTTTAGAATTTTAGAGTTTATTTTAGAGTTAATGCCATAAAAAGGCTTAAGATTTAGTGTAAGTTGCACATGAAGGTCTGTTTATGATTGGACATATGGCCTAAAGATAGTCTTCTTGATCATTATGGTTTTTCCTGGAGAATACTGGTTTTCTGAGAATGAGGAAGTTACATTAGTGGTAGTGCAATGGTACTCTGAAGCCCTGGCTGCCTTATTGCGTAACTTGGCCACCTTCCATTTTTTATTTAAAAAATTACTCTGAAGTCCAAGCATTGTTGAAAATAAGAGTCAAAACCTCATATACTTGTGATGGACAAAAATTACCACAATTGTTGTTAAATTTTGATAAGTTCAAATTCAAATTATGTAATTCTATCTGATTGGGCTCCTCTTTGCTATGAATTGCTAGATTGATCCCATAGGTGTGAATCAGCCCCTATTTATTATGTGTCAGCTGGGTTGAATACTTGAATCCCATATTGTTGGGAATCTTAATGAATTTATAATAACAAAACAAGAATCTCACAATCAACGATTTGGGAACGATTCACGCTTTTTGGTTATTTATCAAACCAACATCCAAAAAAACCTTTCTTTTTTGCTTTTACTTCCTCCAAAGTAAGCTTTTCAAAGTTTCTATTAGGTTTCTCTGGTTAAACTACTGTTGCTTCTCTTCCCCCCCATCCCCTGCATTTTTTAAGTATTACAGCATATAGTAGATCTCTTGGACTCTTTTCCAAAAGACAATGAATTTGTTTTCCTCTCTTTACAAAACCAAATTGAAAACCATTTCCTTGAACATGACATTTTTTAGTGTTTAACGAGGTTGAATAGGTCGCCCTTTTAAGAGTGTTTTATTTAATGTTTGGATTTCTATATAATTATATTTGAACTGATGATGATAAGGGTAGAGTGTGAAAGTGCATTCAGAGACTAATTATTGTGGTGATATATATTGTGGTGTTATAAATCCAACATTTATTTCAACGTTCCAACAATCAAATCCTTAAAATACCAGAAGTTAACACAAAAAAACCAAGCTAATCTAGCCCTTACACCTCAGAAAGCACACAACTTTCTTCGACCCTTTTAAACCTTAATCTCATAAGTTTCCACAACCTTAGCCCACCACAAAATTATCATTTGTGGTGAATTGAATATTCAAAAATGCTGTTTTATCAGTTTGGAATAACATTCCAACAGCTGTTGCTTTACACTTTTCCAACAATTCAGAAACTTGACCACCCTCATATGTTAAACAATAATGAGGGTGTGAGTAAATGAAGAAAAAAAATCAGTGGTGGCAAAGGATAAAATTATGGGGGCACTTATATAATTATCCAAGATTTTCTAGGTGAAAATAGGAATTTATTAAAATGCCAGTGGGGGCAAGTTCCCCCACTGGGCATTACATGAGTCCGTCCCTGACCACTCTATATGGAGGGATGTTGGAATCCATTTCTATTTTAAAAATATTTATTTCTTAAGTTGGCAAGGCCTCACAATTTTTGTAGGTATGCAATTTTATATGGAAACAGCATTTAATAAGATGTGGCCCGAGTTTTACATGCGCACCTACATTCTAATTTGGAAGAAAATGATTCTCAATTTTGGTTGATGTACCCACCCTAGAAACTAAGGCCCAAATGAAATTTGGTAAGTTCTCTATTAAACCAACACAATCTTGGACATACTGTGCGTGAGAATAAAGCTAGATCTTCAAGGGATCAAGTTGGTTGGGAGACTTGGAGTGGATCAGGTTGCTCCCATGATGAATTCTGTTTTGGAATAAAATTCACCATAATAAAACAATTTTGAGTTGATATTATTTGATTTTATGCAGCAACATGTAACCACTTTAGCCATACAGGACTCTTTCCATGCTTTTTTTTTTTGATAAGTTGGACTCTTTCCATGTTTTAACTTCTAAATGAAGGTAAAAAATAAGCTGCTGTTCTATTTCCCAGTTGAAAGCTATATTTATAAATGCTTAAGTTGCTAATTTTCATCATCCTGCGCAAAACCAAGAAACCCCCGCTGTTTAAGCATGTATTAATAGACTTGTGGTAAAATTGTCACTTCTTAGTGCATTTATCTAGTATTATCTAATAACAGTTCTGTTTATTATTATTGTTGCAGAAGAAGAAAAGAAAAGTGAATCCTTTTCTCCCCAGTTTGATGATTATTTAGCAGTATCTCATACCACTAACGAGTCCGATATCGTTAGCGGCTTTTCTCCACATTCTACTACCTCACAAAATAAGTTGTATTTAGAATCACGTTCTTCTGTTGAAGGGGAATCTTCCTCAATCAAGGATCTTCCAGAAGTTGTTATGTCTCATGATGATAAAACAATGACAATTCCTATAACATCGAGCTATAAAGCCACTAGAGATGTGACCACCCAGGGAAATAGCATGCTTGAAAAGAAATCTGCTCGTGGATCTATCAATCAGGTGCTTATTACTGATTTACTGTGTGCCGCATGCAAGCAACTTCTCTGTCGACCCGTAGTTCTTAATTGTGGCCATGGTAAACCTTACAACTTTAAATAGCCATGTTGAGATTAGAGTCAGAAGAAAGATATTATTAAGAAAATCTCATGTCATTACCTTTCTTTGTGCAGTATATTGTGAAGCCTGTCTCGTTAATCTCGGTGATGAGGTATGTAGCTGTCAAATTTGTCACAGCATGCATCCAAATGGATTCCCAAAAGTTTGTTTGGTTCTAGAGCATTTCTTGGAGAAGCATTTTTCTGAAGAATATGCTGCAAGAAAAGACGCTGTACTCAGACAACCTGATTGTCACCATGTCAATCGATTAACGTGTAAGTGCTAATTGTTTTGTCATATTTCATGGATATTGATTTTGTGAGTTTATCCGGATCACACTTCAGTTTGAATGTCACATATATTCTAGAGAAGTCACATGCAGAGATACACATACTTGGATGTATATCTAAATGTATGTACATAGTACATAAATATATACACATATCCACCTCTTTTAGATTCTCAAACGTAAATAAAAATTTGTTCTGTACTCTATCAAGCATGGACGTGGGGTACATATACAACACAACATCCACATGTTAATACCATGAGTTCTACAAAAAAAAAAAAAAAAAAAAAAAAATCATGTTATACCACAATATCGAAATGCATGCCTAATTGTTAGATATCTTATCAAATATTTCATGAATATACCAAAAATTCTGAATTTCTTACTAACAAATTTGAAAGTATGTGAGAAAATTCAGAGTTAAGTTGTGCGGATATGGACCAAATTTGATTCAATTTTCCCTTCTTATATCTCAATTCTTTTTATTTAAGTAATTCTCCAAGTGTTTGGAACTCTAGTTATATTCTTCTTCTTCTTCTTTTTTGGTAGGCAACTCTATTTATATTCTTATATAAACTTGTTAAACTATGGGAGATGAAAACTAGAGATTTTTGCCATATTAAATATATTAAGAATGGAGATTCATGTGTTTTAGTAAATGTGGAAAAATTATTTCTCTGCGGCGCGTTCTCTCTCCGGCCCATTCTCTCTCTCTCTCTCTCTCTCCCCGTGTCTCTCTCTTCTGTCTAATTGGTTCAAGTGTGAGGCAAGCAATATTTGGTGTTTACCAGTCAACGAGGTCGAAGTTATTGGAAACAAAACTAAGATCTCATCAAAGATGCCTGAAGCTGATCTCTCACAGGTTCAAACTATTTTGTTTACATGTTCAAAATTTGGTCTTTTATTTTATTTATTTGACAGCGATTTTTTTTTTGAAAATATAGTAAAAAATAATTATTTATTTTTTTAACTAGGCTAAAGGGGTTGGATCCTGTGAAAAGTTTTGGGGAACAGACAATCAAAAGATTGTGTTCTTTTTCGCAGGCAATTTTTCTGGGCCAAAGGGGTCGGGTTGTGACGATGAGTCTGATCCTTGTGAACAGGTCAAATTTTGTAAACGGATCAAACCATGTCAACTAGTGAAAATTCTTGAGAGAAAAAGGAAAAAGAAAAAAAGAGAGTATCTTTTCAAGAAAAAAATTTCTGCGCTAAACCGATTCAAGTCGTTCTAATGAGTCAGTTTGTGGAAATTGGTCGTATCCTTGGAAATGGTTGGATTCTTATAAAATGGGTCAGCCCATGGTAACTTGGATTTTTAGCTTCTAATTTCGTAAAATAGTATATAATTTAAAACATTTCCAAAAAAAGGTTTGCTGGCAGGTTTTAGTTTGACCCACCTGTTTCAAACTCACACACACAGTTAATATGGTTTTCTATCGTAGTTTTATTGGTCATTTTTATCCATCCTAATATGACGATGGATTTAGCCGAAACTAAGAATGGATGTTACATTTTGTAAAAAATAGTTTCCAAAGAAAAGTTTTGGTGGGTCATGATGGGTTGACCCGACCCATATCCGTCCCGGTCCAAATCTGACCTAATCCGCCCATTTGCTAGGCCTAATTGTGTGATTGATGAAGGTTGAAGCAAGATTTTGATGCGATCTTTCGGTTTAACCTTCCACTGAAGTGACACCACATATGGACCAAGACTTACTTTTGCTCACGGAATATGCAAACACTACATTTTTTCGTCACTGTCCTTTTAACAAGCTCGTCCCCAATAGCCTGAAAATGTTTCGTACTTTCACTGCATTTAGGTGCCGATGCAGTCCTTGCATGTTATGCACTTGAATCCATGTCAACAATGTACAACATACACCATAGGGTTGGGTGCATATTTTTATATCACAGAATCTTACCCCACTTCTTCTCTCATCTAGGACAAGGTCCTTTTTTCTTAGGAATAGCTTTTGACCGTAGTATTCTAGTTGTCAGCCTTACTGTTTCAAGAAGTGTTGATGTATTCTGAAAATTAGAGCCCTTGGGATAGTACCCTGTAATCACATATGTTTTCTTTTCCTTGTTCTTTTTCTTCAATCAATAGAAGAAACCCATTCCCTTTGATTCCCATGTTTTGAATCCTCAACCTCCACTAACTGAGGTTCTCACAAAGCATCCCTCTTTACACTTGATCAACACTTGCATCTTAAAGTTCTTTGGTTACTATTCAGAAACCTTCCACACTTCTTATTAAATGACATTTGGAAGATAGCAGGACCAGTGCGATGATGGTGTTATCACATTACGTGCTTAGGGAAAAGTACTATATTCATTACATAGCATATAAAGTTGAATGTGAATTGGAGATGCTCCCTAAAATTACATCTTAAAGTTCTTTGGTTACTGTTCAGAAACCTTCTACACTTCTTATTAAATGACATTTGGGAGATAGCATGACCAGTGGGATGATGGTATTAATCCATTACATGCTTAGGAAAAAGTACTATATAAAGTTGGACGTGAATTGGAGATGCTCCCTAAAATTAGGATCACTTTCATGTGTTATTATGTCAACTTGAGCATGATTTGACTTCTACTGCACTTTATATTCAGGTCCAACACAAGCTCAGAAGCATGCTGCCGAATTATCATCAATATCTACAAATGCTTACTTGCTCTGGTTGTCTGGCCAAGGGCCCAAGGTTCATGTTGCTGTTGGTTGTGACTTTTGCGGGGTAATGCAATTACTCTTTTATATTTACTCAATTTCGGTTGTTTGTTACGAGAGAATGTGCTAAAGTTGCTTGATGGTTTTTTATGTAGGAAAAATATCAGATATTCTGATGTATAGTTTCCTAAAAACCTGATAGTTACAGCACACATGTTAGGCAAGTTAGATGTGATGGCTGTCTCTCTAAATGGGTTTGTTCTTAGCATACCGCCGAACCGGTGGAAATGGATCATTTGTTTAGACAAACATATCTACTTTTGCTGAACAAAACTAAGATTTGTTTTCCTTTTCTTTCACAAAATGTAGTATAAAGTCACATGTTTGATATTTTTCATAATTAGAGGAATTCAGAATTGTTTAAACGGTACAAGCTGCCTAACGAAATTGGGATCTCAACATCCGGCTTCTTGGTTTGGTTAAAAGCATTTCTGAACAACACCGGGCCATTGGCCCTGGTGTTATATAACCTCTCCTTCCCAAAAGGGAGGTGAAAGTTCGAGCCCCGTGGTACATTGTGGTGGTGTGTGTGAGTATTTACCTAACCAGAAAAATATAAAAAGTTATGAGCATTGTTTTCAATAAACAATCCCCCTCCCCTCCCTACCCCAAACAAAAACACATCATTAAGCTCGCTGTTGAGAAAATGGAAAATAGGATATATACCAAGCCTGGACTTTTGGTTATGTACCTTGGAATAGTTAAGTGGCAGTTTATATGTATGTTGGCAGAAAAGACTAAAGTAATTACAATGGTGAAGATGGATTAGTTGCCCCAGATTTGTCAATAAATGACTTTGCCTTTATTGCTTTATCAATTGACATGAAATAGTTTGCAATGACTAATAGCATGGTAAAGCTTAGGAGAGAGAAACAAATGGGGTAGGGTGAAGAGATAGTCAAGTCATGGTGAGAAATAGTGAAAAGGTGTTTTAACATCGAGTTTATATGAAACTCTTGCTGGAGTACAAATTCAAATTTTTCTTTAAGACTTTGGGAAACAAACTCACAAGTTACCATATAAACTCTTGCTGGTGTACAATTTCAAATTTTCACTTTAATACTTTGGGAAACAAACTCCTCTTTGGTGTATCAGCCATCCGGCCCGTCACTCCTAGAGTCCTTGAGCAAGTAGTGGATAAGTTTTTGTCCTCCTTGTGCCTGAGAACTAGTTTAATTCATTCTAATACCTGATTCTTTTTGCAGATGTATCCGATTGTTGGGGAGCGATACAAATGCAAAGATTGCACGGAGAAAATGGGTTTTGACCTATGTGAAAAGTGCTATAAGAGTTCCTCCAAGCTTCCGGGGAGATTTAATCAGCATCACACACCAGAACACAAGTTTGAGATTGAAGAGCCAGTTGTTGTCATGTTGGACCATTTGTTATGGAGGCTAGGGACTGCACAGCCCGAAGAAGTCTCCGATGATGCGGATGGCGAAGATGTTTCCCCTCCTATCTCATCTGACGAGACTTTATTGAATCCAGAAGATGGTCCAGCGGCTCCTATTTCCTCAGATGAAAATTTACAAGATCGAGATGGAGATGGTACCGACTCCAGACCCTAGAATCATGTCAAGTTTCATCCAGAAATATATTTGGAAGTGCTTCCCAGCCCCTCAAATTTTAGGATGCTCAAATGTTCTTCAGTTCATCTTCGCCAATTTGCCCGTGATGATGTGTTTAATATACCTCCTGTACAGTTTCCCAAGTCGTTTCTATTTTATTTTGAGAGTGAGTACATGTGAATACTTGCATTATGCGAGCATCATGCTGCATTTTACGGAGTAGCATGTTGTCCGAGGAAAAAAAAAGACTTCTGTTAATGTGAAAGCCAGATTATTACTCATTCTAAATACAAATGGATCTGTAGTTTCAGGGGGAAAAAACGATCTATAGTTTCTAATTATGTGTCATCATCAGAGAGGTTTCCTCAGTATTGAGATCATATATTGTATAACTTGCAGCTATATTCATTTACAAACAAGAATATATCTTTCTGTTCTTACGAAGACTTGAACCCTCGACCTTCAATTTGAAATGTGAGAAAGAACAATTAGCCCTTAGCCTTTGGTGTATGGGGTGGGTAATTGAATGGATAAAATGGACTATCTCGGCTTGAAGATTTAACGTGATTAGTTTATTTATTTATTTATTATATTTTTTTAATGTCCTCCATATTACCTTTCCTTTCAAAGTCTAAGGAGAGAAAATACTATATCACAAACATAAGTTAGTGTTGATTGTTTGAGACATTTCTGAATTGACAATGACATAAAGATGACAAATTTGTTTATATGTTTCTTCGTGATTGGCAGGACCATGTAATAATCTCTTTGTTGGAATTTGAATGAACAAACTTGCCAATTCTAAGAGAGTATACTATCCTTTCCCAATTATAATTTTTTTTCTCTTAATTTTGAATATAAATATAGTCAAGTCAAATTCAAATTACCAAAGAACAATAAACAAATGAATAAAAACTATCATCATTCTCAAACAAAAGTATCATCATTCTCAAAGATTTTAGAGATTAGTGCTAAAGGTGAGGACATCCACAGAGATTCGTTGTACAAAAGTAAGGTAGCTAACCATGGTATTGCATCTCAAAATTATTTGTTGAGGAATTACTGAAAAACCCATTCATGAGGTTGGTTTAATCAACCACTTCTCTAATGTATGAAAGGAATAATGGTGAATGCATTGAATTTAACATCTAATTATGCCATCCACGAATGTAGATATCTAATTATTTGACAAACAAAAATGAAAACCTCCCAAAAATAGGACAAGAAACAACTTTGCAATAATCAGTGCAACCCTTCTTTGCATCCCCAATTCTTCGATCCATGTATTCCGAAAAAATACTCACATTGAATTATTCTTTATATATATCTATGTATATATATATTTCTCAACATTTATATCTTTTTCCACATATATCTTTTTTCTTAATTTTCTAATTTCCTTTTCTTCTTCTTTATTACTGCCGGCAAAGAATTTTTCTCTTTTTTGTTTTATTTTCTTTTCTTCTCATTCATTATCGGCAAAGAGGGGGGGTGGGGGGGTGTGCATTAATGGTGAAGAAAGGAGCAATTAATGATGGTGACCAGTAACTTTTAAATCAACCAAGAACACCAACCAACACAATTTGGCGAAATATATCCCATAATGGCGACCCACGTTACCCACAGTAAGATTTTTGGGTTTGTAGTGAGGGTAAGGGGGAGTGTGGAATTTGCAGTGAGGGTAAGGGCATTTTAGTCTTTTCAGTTTTATTTTTTATTTTTTACAATAAAAGTCAATTAAAAAATTAGGGGTAAAATTATATTTTCAAATATTTTTAATGAGTAGCACAAACGCCTAGAGAAAAGATGCATTAATGTTTAGCACAATGTAAGACAACACTCGTTCAAAGGGATTCTGTCTGCAAGTTGAAAACATTCATTCGCCAGGGCCCTAATGTTTACAGTTTTCAGAAATTTGAAAACAAGAGTAAAATTTCTCGAAGTTGAAACAGAGTAAAATCACGTTTTGTAAGGCCCTAATGTTTACAGTTTTCAAAAATTTGAAAACAAGAAGACAAAAAAAATGAGGGCCCGTTTGGCACAGTTGCTTTGTGATTTTGGTTTCACTCGAAGCAGAAGTAATGTTTCTACTTTTAGAATGTGTTCAACACTATTTAGAAATTTGTTTGGTAATTTAAATTTGTTACAAGATTTTTAGAAGCAAAAACATGAAAGCATGTTTGGTAAAAAGTGTAGCAATTTTGAAAATTTGAATGATTAGTTAAAAATATTATTTTAAATTATTATTATTATTATTATTATTATTTAACAATGTTTTACTGCAGTGTGGAAGCAAACAAAAGTATCATTTTGATACTTTTGATTTTCGCCTTAATTTTCGAAGCGTTTTGGTACTATTCAAAAAGTACAACAAATATTACGAATCATGTTTCGTACTTTTGCTTCGCTACACTGCACTAGCAAAATTCTTCTGTTAGCTCTTGCATACAATTTGAGGCTGTATGCATTGATTACATACAATACATGAAATCGGCATACACCCAATTTTTACCCGAGGCATTTTCCAATTGTTTGAATAAAGAGTTCCATTAAAAGTGAGAGAGTTGACTCTTCCAAACTCAAATTGATTCATGGTTAAATTGTTGATAACTTAACATGCATTTCCAAATTATGTATTATCCTCACTATTTGTGACAAATTGTCCACTGACATTGTAATAATCTATGAAACCTGTAAAAAATGAGAGAAAATATCACTTAGGTTACAAACTTCTGTTAGCGTTAATTGTTTGGGACACTTTCGGAACTTATGTTGTGTTCACAATTGGGAAATTTTGAAAATTAATTTTATTAGAATCAATTTTTCAAACAGAAACTTTTGGACAAATCTATATAATTTTGTAATGATGCATTTTACTCCGCATAATTATCCATGCATAAAATCAGTAAAAATAAATAAATAAAAAACCTATACTGCCCTCTAGCAATAAGCAAGCTTTTGCCCAATCAGCAGTCGCCAACTCTGTCCCAGTTTAGAAAAGCTAGTTTTTTCCAAGTTCAGAACCAATAAGGTATAAGAGAGAAATAAAAAGAAGAATAATCAACTGATTTCTCATATGATGACACTAAAGTAAATGCAGTTTTACTTGTATGACAATATAGAACCAGTGTGGGAAAGTCTTCCTCCCAATCTGGTATTCATTATTCCATTCATTATTTTGGGGGTAAAAAACCTTTTAAGATACTCTCTCTGTAGGTAACTTTAGGAAATTGATGCAACCCAAAGGAGTAGACAATAACGATAATATTATGGAGATCGAACCATTCTATTTGTACGCACAAAGAGATTATTCATAACATACATATACACACATGATTTGTGAATATATCCATCATATAGGATTATATACATATAATATACACAAATCTATTAGATGTATATCCATCAGATAAATATTATACAACTATAATTGTATACAAAAATCTGTTAGATGTCAAACTCAAGGATAGCACATTGTAAAAAATATACCACATAAAGGGGGTTCTTTAAGAAAACTTTCAAGTTGTGACTTTACCCGGTCAATAATTTAAAATTGAATGAAGCACTAATATTTAACATTAGTGCTATGTTTGTTTCGACATAAAATTTTCTCTTAAAAAATATTTTTCTTTTTGCAGGTAAAATATTCTTTTATTTTTATTTTGTCGGTATTTGGCAAAGGCATACGTTGAGGTTGAGGTCGAGTCCATCGAATAAGACAACAAGTAAAATAACTTACAGAAAATTGATGAATAAATTATTTTTGTTAAATTTTAATATTTTTTTTTTCGTAAATATTTTAGACACAACCAAACACCATAAAATAAAAAAATATTTTTTAAAAAATATTTTACGTCGGAGACTACGACAATTACATTTTACACTAAACTTGAGAGGACAAACAAATTGACATTATCATAGTTTTACAAGGTTAGACAAATTTGACACCTAGCCACACGGCTTTACCGGATGCCTGCACCCATACTCCATGCAAAAGTACGACATTTGAAGAGAATTATGCAAGAATATTAGTTATGTAACTTGTAAACATACTCACATACTAAGAAGTACAGAAGCAGATACGGGACACAGATATGACACGCACGGATACAGCGATACGATAAATCCTACAAAATTGGACAGGGATAGGCGGGGACTATATTTTTTTATACATATATATGATGTACTTTAAGAAATCAAGAGTAATATTATATTTTATCAATCTAATAATGAAAAAAAAAATTGTGTTTGCTGGAAAAAAGAAAAATAGATAGAAAGAAGGTTAAGAAAGAGAAAAAAATTAAAGAAACAAAGAAAATTAGGGTTTTGTTAGAAAAATAATTAGGGCTTAGTTAAAATAAAGGTAAGAATCCGTAGAAGAGAAAATATTCATGTTAAAAAGAGGAAAAAGAGAAACAAAAGAAGAATTTTGTTGTGAATGGAAAAATGGAAGTTTTAGGGTTTGTGAAGAAGAAGAAGAGAGAAAAGAGGAGCGAGAGAGATAATCCACCGAAGCTTGGTCGGTGGAAGAACAAGAAAGAGTCCAAGTTGATCTTGCAAAAGCTTAAAACTTTGAACTAAAATATAAGAATAAATATATGGTTGTTCTACTATAAAATTATTTTATAAAAAAACAACTTTAAAGTAATTATATAATGACCATCATGTTATTTAAACTTATAAAACAACTCCTCATATTTATACTTCAATCCAGTTTTCTTTCTAAAACTTTCCTAAAAATCCCCCAGAATGATTTAATTGAAAAAAAAAACAAACAAGAATGCAACACGTGTGTCATACACGTATCTATGGCATATGGAATGCGTGTCGTGTCGTGCAATTCAGACACGTTTTTTTGGCGTCTCCGACATGTGTTGGGGTGTGTCCGACACGTGTCGGTGTTCAACACATATTATTTGCCCTTTTAGGCATGTTCATGCTTCCTAACTCACATACATGCAACAAGACACTAGTGCAGTGGTGAAATGCTGGGGTTTTCAAGCGTGAAACCATGGGTTCAAATGCCAAAGGTTAGTTTTGTATATGATCTGTCTGTAATGACCATTTTTGGCATAGTGATACAGCAGACTCATAAAACCTAAGCATACTTCCAAGTATCTTGTTAGAGTTCCCTCTCAAGGGAATGCAATAAATCTCAGCAAATTCTCCTCATGAACATCGCAATACATTAGTCATGTCTCACAAACAAGACAGCATAAATGGGAGAATATTCTTCTCTAAGAAGTAAAACAAGGGTCTTTAGTAGATTTTTAAAAATAACTACATAACATAATCATGTACTATACCATGTCAAATTCAAATTACCAAAGAATAATAAACAAATGAACAAAGGATCATCATTCTTGGAGATTATTGCTAAAGGTGAGGACATCCATAGAGTTTAGTTTTAAAAAAATTCAGGAAACTATAGTATTGCATCTCAAAATTATTTATTGAGGAATGAGTCGAATGACTAATTATATTCCAAACTGAACAACCCATTCATATGGTTGGTTTAATCAACCACATCTAATGTGTGCAGGAACAATGGTGATAGCATTGAATTTAACATATAATTATGTCATCCATGAATGTAGACATCTAATGATATGGCTTGAGCACAAACAATTTTAACTTATAATCAAAACATAATGAAAACCTCCCAAAAGAATGATAAGAAACAAATGCACAAATTTCCATCAAAATTATCACAGCAACCCCTCTTAGCACAAAGAAATGATCAACCAGTTCAATTGTCTCCGTCAAATTTTCAATATATAACTAACATAGATTTTCAGCATACCAGTCACATGAAAAAAAAATCAGCATAAACAAAAACACTTCAACACCATCATCACAGAGTCCATCCCACATGAACGGCCCCCATGAAAGCTCTTGGGTGAAACCAGACTCTCCATATACAAAAACGCTTCATTAAAACTGGGACAATCACAAATTTTAGTAAATGTATTTTCTTCAGTATTGTACGATCCTAATTTTGATTGATCAACATACAATCCCGAGTTTGATCCATCAATCTTCAGTAGAAGTTCACCATTCCTCAAGAAACACAATGGGGTGAAGCAAATAGTTCCCACGTCACATGGGATGGTGATAAACTTGCTCCAAGATGCCTTCACGCCATATTCCTTCATCAACCACACCTCAACCAAACGTCCATTAACACCATTTGAGAGAGACACTGCATACAAACATTCTTCTAAAACACCCAATTTGCGAAACGACAAATCTATTTCATTTCCACCCCGAATACCATCTAGGGACATCTCACTAAACACCTCCTTTGATAAATCAAAACAAGCAATCACCCTGGGTTTCACTAGCCAATGTAAAGCTCCATTCAAGAAACAACTACGCAATGAATATATGGCATCATAACCACAACCCACGTCTCGGATTCGTCTCAAGTGTTGTGTCTAAGACTAAACATATAGATTTTGATATTCTTTTTAGAGGGATCACCAATAAAGTCAGTTGTTGCCATAAGTACCTTGTAATCATCGTTTGAGGAGTCATAAGCAAACCCAAAATAACCTACAATCCACTGTGGTGGTTCTGGCAATTTCTTGTAGACTCTAGTGGAAGGGTTATATAAGACAAATGTGAACCCCAAACCAACAAGATAACAAATCAAGCCATTGCAGGAACCTATTGCAATGACGTCATTGTCCCTTCCCCCCAAAAAGGGACAATTCAACTTCACTACTGCATTACTATCATCATTAATGTTGTGGTTGTCAAATAATGATTCATAGTCTATTGATTTGGGAGTATAAAAATAGAAAGAGAGTTTCCGGGAATTCTTGGAGTGAATCGATCGATCGAGATGCAATTTGATGAAATCGGGATCAGAAATTAAAGAGCGAGATTGTTTTGAAACGCACCTGAAACGCACTAGTGTTTCAACCGGAAGTCTTGCGAGTATGTCCATCTCGATATCTCGAGGTAGGTTCAGGACCGCCATTTCATCCCCAATTCTTCGATTCATACCTTCCAGAAAGCTTATATAGAGAGAGAGAGAGAGTTGAGACTGGATATTCAAGTAATTTTTTTCTTCTTTCTCATTAATATGTATTTCAGATCGGGCGTTTGGCGTGGTACCAAATCAAGGATTGGGTTTGGCTCTAATACCAACTGTAACGTGAGCGCTTGCCCATTTACCCAAAAGCTCGAACTATTGAATAGTGCTGCATACCCACCCATTTATACTGATGTCACTTCTCATCCGAATCCGATGTGGGACAAGTTTCCACAATGTGTCTATATATGAATGGATAGTGTGCTGTAGCAAACAATAATAAATAAATAAATAAATAATGTGTTCTGAATTTTTTAAATATCAAAAGATTCATTAAAACTGGCTAATAAGTAAATTCATCTTCAATCAAACTTTGATAACCACGATTCATATAGAAAATTTATAAAAACAAATTGTGGGGGCCAATTTTATTTTATTTTTATCCTTTTAGGTAACTATTTTTTATTAGATATTTCTATCCTTTTAATCTATATCTATATCTATACTATATCTATTATTAAAAGTGCAAAAATTTCATTACTTCCGTATTTATTTATTAATATAAAAAAATATTTATTAATTGATATAAATCAAAATATAAAAAAATATTACTTATTTCTAAAAATATCGATAATATAAAAAAAAAATTTTATTTCAGTATTTCTAAAATTCAAATTACCTATTTATCTTTTTATTTCTAAAAAAATCTATATTATTATTAAAAGAGTTTTTATAAAACTCTAACACAAAATATAAAAATATATTTATTAATTAAAATAAAAAGAGTTTTTATAAAAAGGGTTTCTATAAAACTCTAACACAAATTACCTATTTATCTATTTGTTTTTAAAAAAATATTTATTACTTGATATAAAAAGAGTTTAATTCAATTTACAAATTACCTAATAAAATTCAACTCAAACTCAATCACCACTTTCAAATTACCTAATAAAATTTAAATTATAAATTGCCTAATAAAATTTAAATTATAAATTACCTAATAATACCAAGAGTTTCTATAATACCAAGAGTTTCACGCTTGGTATTAATAGTAAGGTTGCGTCTACTTGGGAATAGGGGGATATTTTTTGCTCACAGTTTCCAAGCATAATGGAAGAAAGTAAGGGCGAATTACGAGTACAGAATTCCTTTTGTTACCGGAGAAAAATTTAATACCCCTAATTTTAGAAGGATAGTCTCGGTATTTATTTATTTGTTTCAATTGTATTTTTAATTATTTAATTGATTATTTGACTAATTGCTGATGTATTTAATTGAATTAGATATTACTTGATTATTTGATTATGTGTCTATATATTATTTGTATTTGTTTACGTGTTAATTGTTTAATTAGATTATGTGCTTAAATGGTGTTTTGATTAATTGTAAATTAAATGTTTTATTTTCTTTTATTATTTTATTTTATTTTTCTTTTATGGTTATGGTTACTAGTAATGTGCCAACCAATTGGGTCCTATGGATTACTTAGATAGAAGGTTGGATGTGTATGGATTATTACCTATGGATGGTTATGCATGTATATATATATATAAAAGGGAAAGTAATTTATTAATTACTTTTATGATAACTTGGGTAGTAATATTTAATCTAATGTATATGTTTTATATTTAAATAATAAAAATGTACATATATTTGATACATGTTATGTTTTAAGTTACTTTATAATATTATGGTAACTTAAGTATTATTGGATAATCCATTAATAAATAATGGAATGTGTATTATTTATTTATTTAACAAAGATATACATAAATTATATACATAACATATTTTACTTACCTTTTTAATATATATAAAAGGGAAAGTAATTTATTAATTACTTTTATGGTAACTTGGGTAGTAATATTTAATCTGAGGTATATGTTTTATATTTAAATAATAAAAATATACATAGATTTTATACGTATTATGTTTTAAGTTATTTTATAATATTATGATAACTTAAGTATTATTAAATAATTTATTAATAAATAATGGGATGCGTATAATTTATTTATTTAATAAAGATATACATAAATTATATACGTAACATATTTTACTTACCTTTTTAATATATATAAAAGGGAAAATAATTTATTAATTACTTTTATGGTAACTTGGGTAGTAATATTCAATCTGATGTATATGTTTTATATTTAAATAATAAAAATATACATAGATTTGATACGTGTTATGTTTTAAGTTATTTTATAATATTATGGTAACTTAAGTATTATTGGATAATCCATTAATAAATAATGGGATGCGTATAATTTATTTATTTAATAAAGATATACATAAATTATATATGTAACATATTTTATTTACCTTTTTAATATTTTAATATTTATTTTTTTAAGTTGACCTGGATTGGGAAAATGGTTAGGGTTATTTTATTTAGCCTATATATATATAGCTATAGGTTGTAAAAAGGGGTTAGAAATATTCACGTGATATATTCTAGAGAGAGAGAGAGTTAGAGAGGGAAGGAGGAAAAGGAAGGATGGAGGAGAAAAACCCTGTAGAGAGAAGATCAAGGAAGAAGAAGTGTAACTTTCGATCCGAAAGTTTAAGGCAAGTTCTTCATCGATCTCTTTCCCTTTGATTCGTGTTTTTGTACATGCTTAGGAAATTTCAGGATTTATTAAACACATAAAATTAAATAATTATGCATATTTAATTGGATTAGAACATAGGCTTTATGAAATTGGTTCATATCTGTTCTTGTGTTATAAATTGATAAATGAATGATTTTGATTTGATTTCTGATGTGAATTTTTATATGTTTAAATTATGTATTTTTCATATCTGTGGACTGATGGAACATAGAAACATGCATAGGATTCTTGAACATTAAATAGGAACTAGGTTTGGGTTTAAACAAATTTAAATAGACTCAATCATTATGATGCTTGCTATTTGAATGTTTTAAACAAACGAATGGATTTAATCTTTTAAAATGTTTTAGTAATTGAGATTAAATGTGTAGAATGAATTGGATATGGAGAATGCTTATTTGACGGTATAATAAAATATCATCATGTATAAGATTCAGTTTGTGTAGGACATATAATATAGGAAGCTTAAACAAATAATAAGTCATTCATATTTTGTAATAACTTGATATCATATTATCATAATTATTTCTAGATTGTTTGATGTATTTCCTTATTCGTTACATCAATTGTTGGATTTTGTGGTTTAATGCACCGGTATGTGACGGTGGCATTTTAGGGACGGATTAACTTATCAGTTAAGTCCTACCCATTTTATATAAGGGAATGAATTAATTAAAATGTTAAATCCTACTTATATTCAAGTCAGGTCAGCTGAACATGTTGAATGACTTATGGGGGATTAATTTATTATATAAGGGAATAGATAAACTAAAATGTTAAGTCATACTTATATTCAAGTCAGGTTAGCTGAATAAGTTGAATGACTTATGGAGGATTAATTTATACTGGATAGGATGGTTACTAAATTATATATATATATATATATATATATATATAAGTATGGTGCCATGATCTGAGCTTGAGTCTCAGGATCAGTGGTTAGGGCGTGTATATTGCCAGGGATGTGCAGTTAGATATAGTGTAGTTGTGTACACTGGTAGGTCTAGGTACTCATGCCAACTATATGTGCGTTTTGCATGTTGCCTACTATTCAGGTTGAGATAACCCTATAGTCTAGTGAGGTTCCTTTAGTGTGTGTGTATATATATATATATATATATATATATATGGACTACTAGTTACTGTTGGATTGACTAGGATGTATACGTGTATCGAATCTCTGCTTGGACTGTAGTAGAGTAGAACTTGTTTGTAGGCCTGACCCACCATTATTTTTCAAGTATTCGTCAGGAGTAGAGGTTGTTCGGGCTGAGCGGGGATCAATCTGCTTCATTCTTCCGATGCTACATAGGAGTTCCTTTATGATTCAGTTTCCTGATTTAGACAGTTATTGCTGTCATTTGTTTAGTTTGGATTTTCTAGGGGTCCACACAATATGGATTCCCGAGTTGTATTTTGGAGGATCAGTTGTATCAAAAGAGTTTATTAATTAATTGAAATATATTATAAGTTTTATTATTAGATTATTATTTTAGTTTCTTGTCAGTATTTTATTTATTCTTCTTTATTCTTTTGTACTCTGTGTTTGTTTATTGCCGATTTGTTTTTGATATCCTCGGGTATTTGGGCGTGGGCCTGGCCAACCCGCATTCGGAAATCGGGGGTGTCACAATCCACAAGTGATGCACACTCAAATGAATATCAAATAAATCCAGAAACTAGCATAATAGAAAACAGATATTATTAAGATCCCATCATGCATCCAGTATATGATTATAATCATAAAAACTCCTTTTAAACTGTTAAATTACTGATAACAATTTAAATTATCCATATCTATCCAATTGACAAAACAGAAATTTAAAACAGTTCATCAATTAACATCCATAACATGGTATAATGATTAATCAGAATTTTGAACTGAATACATTATACTAGATATCCCAAACCATCCTCTCATACTAGTTTATTTAAATTGCCAAAACAAAGACTAATAATGAATTCCTCCACAATCTTTGACGGCATGAAAGTTAGCATTTACACCACATGACATCCCTTTGATCCTCCACTCCAAAACATGTGCCTGATATAATATGACACTCTAAAGTCCAAACTGCCCATTATATAAAACCCCAACAACATTCCCATATTAGTCCATTTAGTTCACTAAACCAAAAGTAGCAACTAAAATTCCTACCACTCCTGACAACATGCCCTTTAATATCTAAGTTAATGATGTCTATGACCATCTCCTAAACTGACCTTTCTGGCCTCCATTAAATTATATAAATAATTTATATAACATCCCAAAAGTAATTCAATACCAGTCAGTTTAAATTGTTAAAACAAACTTAGTAACTTAAACCT